AGAAAAAATATTACACCTTTTATATTCTAAATTGTTTCTTATTTAAATAAATTCAAATATAATCAAAACCAATTTAGACCTAATTATAAGTATGACCCAAATGACGTGATATACTATGTACTTAATCCATTATTTAAAAGTATTATAATCAGTGATTACAAATAAATAACATGACATATATCTATATATATAAAAAAAACTATTCCTTGTAATTATTAATATAAAAAAATAGAGTTAAAATTATAATAGTAAGATATATAATAAATCACAATCCTTAATGCATATATACAAACTGAACTGAGTAAGGGTATGAATACAGAATACGGACAGACAGTTAAACCGTATACTATATAGAGATGAACCTCTGAAAATTTACATGAAACATTTTAATATCTCACCTGGCCTTTTTCTCACGCAATAAAAGCATCAAAAGTTAAATTTGAATCCATACTGTAACCTTTACGGGGAAACGCTAGCGGAATTATTGCTGTGGCTCGTAATAAACGGCTGAAGTTCTGTTCTTATGATATCAATATGTAATAAAATAAAGGTTATCTCTTTTTCGAAATTCTTAGAATGGAGTATTTAACTGGTAAAGTATGAATCTAGGTGGTAAAAGAATATAGGTAGCAGGCAATATAATATTATGTCATTATTAATTTTAATTCAATCTGTGTAATACAGTACATATAATTATATACATTTATTTAGTTCAGTATATAATAGAGTCGTTTATTACATCTCCTCTGTAATGCGACATGCGACAGACGAACAAAAAGGATGTAATTAAAATAAATTATTTGAAACCACTGACCCACACTAAATTCTTATTCGTTTTTATCATTCATCAAAAAAGTTTTAGTTTCGATATATAGATCGATAGGGCATTAATTTGTGGCCATAAAAACATTATAATGACGTGTATAAATAACCTTAGCCATAAATCTGTTCGTAATAAAGTTAGTACGTAGTTCGCAATATAATTTTTATCTACCACACGACAATCCCTGTGAAGGGTGCCTCTTCACTCAATTTATGCACATAGCTTACGTGGAGAGCACTGTCACCAACGCAGGCTTGTGTGAAAAATGTCAACTATATTCGTTATGTGGTGTTTAGTATTCAAAAAGTTTTTATATTTAACTCCTATGTACTCTATGACAGATGCTTCTGTCGTAAAACCATTGAAATTGTTCCATTCATTACAAATGTATTTTGAAAACTACTACACAAATAATGAAGGAAAATTAGCACGAATATGTGTATAGAATTTTATACGTGTGTAAGGAAAATAAATTCTGTGTAAATGGAAATAGTTTCCATTAATAACATAATAGTGATCAATCAACCCTTTTCCCCGCCGACCCCTAATTGGTAGAAGGTGTCGGTGCTTTTGATGTAACCCCTCTCAAGAATATATTTGCATAACACTAATCTTCTATTTTTAACTCATATTCATATTTTACACATATAAAATGTTATGGCGTCCTATAATCAATTCTATTTTCCTTTTTTCATACATATATTTGGGTCGTGCACACCTCAAACTGAATGAATACATTTTATTCAAATTGACTTACTTGAAATCTTTCGCAGCCAATCAGGATTTTGTAACAAAATTGAAACTCGAAAAACAAACGTTTGCACAAACAATTGCAATTAGATAAGACAAAACGAACGAGAAATATCCAGTGTCTAGGAAATCGAAACAATATCCCGGCTTGAGGCGAAGGAGCGTTTTTGCGAGCTCCGTATTCATGGACATTATTTATGCATGCAGCAGCGAAAATATTACAAGATTTTAATGAAAGAAATATTAATTTTAAGGTAAGTTTTCTTTGCGGTCGTCGAGGGCTAAATTAAGTTTGGTCTGGCATAAATACTTGGGAGTTGAGGCCCCCATTCAGAGGAATATGCTATGATGAAATTCGTTTACATTTCAACGTCGCGACGTTACTTTATAAAAAGATTGCTGAAAACTAAATTCAAGTTTCTATGTGAGTTACGTGAAAAATCGTAGAAATAAGTTTAAAAAAATGTATGATTTTTTTTAATTTGCTGATTAATCATTTAAGCTTTAACAAACAACAAAAATATAAACAATCACGTATAAAATAAATGACATTGAAAAAATCTAAATTAATAATTTCCAATATAAATATTACTCAAGTAAATTAAATTAATTTTATACATAAAAATCATATACTGATACCAATAATGGTCGGTCAAAACAACATTGTAACAAAGACTAAATAAGTCGATAGCAAGGTAATAAGAATCCAAAGCAAATAAAATTCTATATCAAAATATAAAGCTAAAACAATGTTAGTTTCACAAGTCATCAATTTTAAATATTAGTAGCAACATCAAACATTTAAAGATATAAAGGAACTTCCTCAAATATAACGCCGACGCACTTTATTCAAATTGGGTGAGAAGATCAGTTGAAGTGGAAAAAATATGAATATGATTTACTCGTTTACTTGAAAAAGTTTCCTCTCACCAAATGAAGCATATTTAGAGCCGTAACATTCACATTATTCAAAGAAACTTCATAAAGCCAGCCAGTGATTAACGGTATACAATTACGCATTTTTTTAATATCCCTACTAATATTATTAATGCGAAAGTAACTCTGTCTGTCTGTTACGCTTTCACGCCTAAACCACTGAAAAGATTTTAATGAAATTTGGTACAGACGTAGAGTTGACCTTGAGAAAGAACATACATATATTAGTTTTTATCTCAGACTTTTGAAAGGTTCTCTTGGAAACGGAAAGCTAGTAATTTATAAATGTATTTATTATTAAAGATAATAAAGAATCAACAATAAAAAAGAATTACAATAATCTATAAATTAATTTGTATCTATTTGTATTTTTACCGAAATTATACTGTAATTATAATTAATGCTTGAAGATGTCTAGTTATTTTTTTCGTTAACCGTTAATGAATAGATGGCATTATCCAAAGTAGTCTTTAAGAACAGACAGAGGGGATTCAAGTAAGTTTTATGTAGAATTGGAGGTTAAATGAAGTTAAACTGTCTTACAAATGTTTAAAATATATTTTTTGTACAATTTATAAACTTAAGGCGATGGTTTAGCATATAGGTACGGCCGATTAATGATAATTAAATAATCACTAAACTTTATTCAAGCGAAAATATTTAATATATTTTATTGCAAGTTCTGGCAATATATTTTTAATGAAGTGCAAAATCTTTTAATTTATATATCGTTATTTTTTCATCTTGATGTGTAGAAAATTCTATAAATAGCAAAATTTACTGTTATACTCAAATAGTAAGTCATATCAATTCATTTTTCAATTAAAACACCCTTAATTTTGAACGTTCAAAAGTTTTTCTACAAAAATTATTTGATAGTAATAAAATTTCATTTCGTTTATAACACTTGATTATATCTATCCCATTATCATTTGAATAGCAACATTGAAAAGAAATTATTGTTTTATAACAGTAATACCAACAATAACACAAAAAACGTAAATATATGCTTAATAAATATAAAAGTAAAAGTAAAATTTTTATTTTGTGATGTTTGCACAGTTCGTATGTAAATTTCTTACAGGGGCGACACAATCTGTTCTGTTCTGTACATAAATTTCGTTGATACGGATAACGCTAAGACTCCTCATTGCTGTCGGATCATTAGCTTTGTGTAATTAGCTTAATTTTTAAATCCTCCTAAGATCTATCTAAAATACTTGCAAAATATATTTACAAATATATTTTCATTGTATTAAGAAATATATCTGTAAAATATAGTACGATAAAACCTTTCTTTATGTATCTTTATATAACAGAGACATTAATTTAGTTTACATTAATACATATATATAGAACCACTGTACAGATTTGTCTGAAAATTGTTAAGAAGATAGTTTAGAACCAGGAGAGAAACACAAAAACTTTTCATCCAATTCGACCCAAAAAATATTTCATATATGGCTTTCAAGGCAGAACAGAGTTCACTAAGTCAGTATACAAAAAGTCGATCTTCGAAATTGCCACCATTTTTTCTAGCAATTTTCTGTCGCATATGATATTAATATAAAAATATCGCTATTTTAATATTAAAAACGACCGAAGTATATAAAATCTATAAAATATGCCAACACATGACATCGAGAAGCGATTGATTGAATTGATATGAAACACAAATAAAAGAAACAGAACATACCCGCGGTGTCGGTCCGCGGACGGCGAGGACGAATTCATTTGAATAATTTTAGAATATTTCCCTATGAAAAATTTCCATAACGTTTTAATTTTGTTTTTTGGGTAAATGGAAAAATGTGGGAATATTTCACTGGGACGTTGAATATAAACATTTGTAAGATGTTAACGATGTAGGATGTATGTTCGTTTGATAGGATTGTTAGAACTTCTACTATATTTTATAACAAGATTTATAATCTATATACGATATATTTACTTTCTACCTGGCAAATTCCCAGCTTTAGCCAGGGTCTGCCTTACATGTTATGAATACTTTTGGCTGAATCTCTATATGTGCAAAGAAATTTATTCGTCTTTTTTTCTGTGAACTATATATATATGTATATATGTATATGTGTGTGTAAAAGTCGTGCTAGTTACACTATATTTTATAACTTAAGAACGATTATACGGATTTAGCTGGAAATTTGTGGGGTTGTACGTTGAAATCAGGAAACGGATATAGGATACTTTTTAATTTGTTCGACCGAAAAAAATTTTAAGAAAATCTGTTTATTTACTGCCTCTAAATCGAAGTAATTCGCCTGGTCAGTTATACATTTCTAATTGTGAAAGTAAAGCGGGCAAACGTAGTTTTATAAGATATGTAGTATAAGATATGTAGTTATATAAAGTACTGAAATCTTACAATATTAATAATAACGTTTCTATTACAATATATTTGATATACTATAGGCATATCATGTTAGCAACACAGCTTTATTTTGGGTGTTATACGTAAGGAGGTTCCGCTTAATTGAGCAAAAATATTTTCCTCAAACATCCATCATCCCGCGATAAACAGGCCGAAACACCGGCCGTATCTGTAGGTAAGTTATTCTGATTGATGTGAAGATATTTAGGATGAATTTGGATAACAACCTTCCCTATGTATTGATGATAAAATAATTACATAAAGAAAATCAAAAGATTAATCTTTGCTACGAAAATTTATTAAAAAACATTAATATAAGCTTTACTTTGAAACAGATGTCTAATTATTTATTTAAATCGAACATTATGAAATCTAAGATTTTCGAGAGTATTCATTTAAATGAACAGGCCGTGCTCAAGTCGGGAGTATAAAATTTTTGAAAATAATAAAATTAGGGTTAGTATAATCCGAAAAATATTAATTTCATTTTAAATATTGTTTACAAATCAATTCCTATGTTGAATAGTATATATATTAGGAATAAAATATAATAATATCCACGTATAATCACCAGCATTACCACCGAATCCCATTTTAATAAAATCAATTCCGTCCCGACAATTCAATTTGCGGAGTTCTTAATCAGAGACAAAGTAAAAACGTCTACAAGACAAACACGGAGCACTGTTAAAATCCCCCTTGCATACATTAGGAGCTATTTGTTTTAGGAGCATTAACATTTTTATGACTACAGAAATGACTTCAGTCTAATGACGCAGTTTATAAAATATATATATGGAATATACATTTAGACTTTACAGATATCAACAGTTATATTTGTCAAAATAACTTGGTTCAGTCAAAATCTGTTTTCTTTTTTTACATCAAAAGGTATATCTTAGTAAGTTTTTTCTATTTTGTATTAGGAAAACTGATATTTAAGAGCATGTAACTTAATTTTCGGTTAAGAAATTTATTTATCATTAAAATTTTATATATTCAAGGAGTAAGTCGCATTATGTATTCTAAGTTTGAGAACATTTTATCTTTTTAATACAACATCATGAAATTTATAAGATCTAACACAATTTGTCGTTAATTTTTAACATGATCCTAGTTTAGTATGATACATAATATATGTATATCATATAAACGAGATTTCCCAACACAACACAAAGTATTACAAGACAAAAGACACCTAACAGCACAAAGACCACAAAATGTCCGTAAAATTGAGTTCCTAAAGCATTTAAGTACCAAAAATCACGTTACCAAGTTAGGAGCGGCTTTTCTATCTTCGCATACATTAAACTAAGGTGAGCGTACTAAAACAAAATCATTATTCAAATCCCTTGAATAATGTTTTCAGGAATCAGGACTGAGTTTCCAGTCGTTTTTGAATTTTAATACGGACTGTAACAAGTTTTTGAGTCGTCAAAGGAAATCGGTGCGACGGCCTGTTGGCTTGCTGACGAGTAAATCAGACATATTGAGATACATACAAGTATTTATAAAATTACATGATTTAATAATAATAATAAATCATTTCCAAAATATAACAAGTTATATAATATATCTGTTAACTGATAGAAGCTTAAAAAAATTATTTATAATAAATTATCCGTATTAAATCAATCTATTTCATGAATATTTCAAATGTTTCTTAAATACATATAAAGTTTTATGAAGTACTGTATTGTTATGAATATAATGAATGTCCGCTTTGCTCGTGTGTACCCAGCATCCCGATCAAAGGCGTGTGATCAAAGGACGTCGACTGACCGGCGGTAATTAGCCACCTTCAGGACCCTCCCAACTTGAACTATGAAAAACTGCACCAGCATAGAACGTGACGGACGGTAATTAAAAAAAACTTGTTATAAGATTACGATTATAAAGAGGGAAGTCTGCTGCTAGAATAGTTTATGTGTGTCGTGAGAATTTGTAAAATGAAAGATGTCTTCTGATATCATATCTACTGTGAAATTGTTGCACCTTTGTTAAACATTTCAATATACTTAATATCTCCTAGGTTTCTCTTAAAAATATCTTTGTTTCATTTTTCAAATGTTTAATCGTGAGACAATGAATCTTCATTTAAACATTGCTATATATAATGTCATTATAATTTAGAACAAAAAATTACATCCGATCTATAAGACCACATTCCCAAGAAACATATCAAAAGAAATGTTTTCGACATCCTCAACATTCTTAACTAGAGACGTGATGTATCAGAGATAAACTTATAAGGCTGGAATCATTACCGCGGGATGAGTTTTATAAAATGTTCAATAAGCTTCCGCATTGAACGGAGATCGCGACCCGACGGTCACTGCTTCTTAACTGCCCTCCATCTATGAAATATTTATGACGACTCCCATAATAACGCCAGCGACGATATCATTATACTTTGTGATGGGGGTGTCGGGTGGGGCGGAATAACTGAACGCTCCTTAACATTTCAAAGTTACAAACGCTATTTCAGGACTCACGCCTCACCGAACTTGTAAACATCAGGTACATAACATGCTTTTAATCCATTACGATTATGTTTTAAAAGTTCTCCTCCAAACTCCTGTCGTGTCTGCGCAGACGCGCTCCAAGGTACTTCCATATTAACTTGTTAATTAGATCCATAATACGACTTGCAGATGAGCGCGGACTTGTGAAGTTGAATACATAAAAAGGCCTTTTTCAGCATGCATTGTGGCCAGGTCCGGCAGTCGCGGGCGGTGCGGAGGCGAGCCTATAGCGTCCCACCAGCCACCAGAAGTTTGCCTGTTCATAAATAAACGGTATTCAACAGGCCTTGGTGCTGTATGCATAACGAATTTGAAGGAGGCAAACTTGGAGGCTGCTGACTGGGATGGAGTATAAAATTCACTAACAACATGCTGGAGCTTTTCATTCGACGCTTCGCTGTCGTTGAAGACATAGCTCCGTTATGCTAATTAGTCATTAAGTGCCACTAATTAATTGATTGTGATATGACCATTATGACTGTACAACGTTGTAGGGCATTCGGTGACTGGCTCGGGAGTGCGGGACGGATGTGTTTAAGGCTAATTAGTTATGCGTTTGGTTTAATTAGTGATAATGAGTTGTTAATTTGATGCAGTTGAGTTGTTTTGGTGAAGTTAGATGTCTGACGCAAGATGGAGCTGCTAGGCGGCCATCTTGGCTGCTGTCAAAACGTGTGAGTAGAAGACGCCGCTAGGTGGCGTACGTGTCGCGGGTAGACGACAATAACATGCGGGATTGGACTCACTTGTATTGTATATTTTTACATCCATTTCCATAGATATCTCGACTCTTTTATAACTTCTTTGTTTACTTTTAGAGATATTAAATGATGGCGCCCGTTTTATTGATATCGAAAAAGGATTTTACTTATACTGTTGTAGTTGCTTCTTAGAGAAATTTATGCCAAAGTAAATTTTAAACTATTGGAAGGCATTTAATAGATTTTTTTAAATACAAGTGAATTCAATTTAAATAAATATAATTATTATTTAAATGTATCTTATATTGGGTAATATTCAGCCATTGTTATTTATTTGTCAAACATTATTTTCGTTCAGAAATATGAAATATTACTAACGAAAAATGCTCAACATTTTTGCCACTATTTTATTGTTTTGTTATAAACAAAATAACATACAATATTATTTATTTTTCAGTATTGTATTGTATGTAAATATGATATTTATGAAAAAAAAAATCCCATCCAAATAACCATGGCCGCACGCCCGGGAGCCGTTCGTTGACATGTCATTTTCTGCATCGTCAACTTCGTCAGCGAATTTGTTTATGACAGATACGAATTCATCATCAACCTTATATCATACGACATAAGGTTGATATTCGCATCAGCTTTCCATTTTTCAATTCTTATATATTTGAATGTTAAATCAGCTGTCTGTACCGGTGCACTCCAGGTTGTAGGTCGACAGGCTCGTTTGAATACCTTGGATTTAGACTATTATGAAAGAGACGTGTTGACATTCTGACATATGGAATAACTATATTACTAGATAGATTCATTTATATGTATATATATAATCATTTACACACACATACATAAATATGTGTGTGTATAGATATGCAGTTAATAGAACAGGAAATTAATACTATTAAATGACAGATACGAGTTAAAATTTATTAATAATTCAACAAAAATATACTTAAACGACCATTATTATGATATATATATGGTTATATATGTATATTTTTGGTAATTTTCTATGTATTTTTGTACTTTTACATGCTTTTATCATCAAACATAAATGATTTGTTTAATATATATCATGCTTAGCTTAAGATCGTATCGTCACACTACGTACGATGTGTTTCCAATTTCTCACTCAGTAAATTACGTTAATACAGATATACTAATTTATGAATGAAAACTCTTAACGGTCCGTACGTAGTATGACTATGAAGACTTGTAGTAAACGACAGTTATATCTATTATATCTGTAAAGTTATACAAATATTTATTAATACAACAAAAACTCACTAATCTTCCATTGTATCTAGAAATTCTTTCTATCAACAAATGTTTTCTTGACAATCCAAATCACTATGAATCCCATGGGAAACAAACGAGCCAATAAACAAGCGTAGTGATTGTAAAACAAGAAATATCTTACAAAAAAACCGTAACAATACACGATAAATCACTCAGTTTACAAGATTCACAACACTAGAAGTTATTATAGACATGTTTATGAACGGAATTAAAAGTATTGATTACGCTTTTTGCTTTTTTACATAATTAAAAGAAATATAATAAATAATAATTAAGTTTTATTTTACTGAAAACTTTTTAGAGAAACTTATCTGTCAATATTTGATTTTAGAATATGACAAATACTTTCTAACTTTTTAAATATGTCGAAGCTGGTATCGTATCTTCGGGGTAAATATAAACTGCTTCACTTATGAGATGTTTTCGCAAATAGAAATATCATATAATAATGTCTTTGGATTTACATACATTTAAATGAATTATGTTAAAAAATTTAAAACATTTCAAACTAGTTCTTCTTATATAATAAGCAAATGTTTTATTGAATTATACTACATTTATTACTTGTAATTACTTACTTAATCATTTGTTAATAATAAACCAATCTAATATATCGTATTTTAAACCATATAACTATATCAAAGAATTTTTTGACAGCACCAAAAGTATATTATTTTTTTAAAAATAGAGATAATAAATAGACCTAGGTTTATCCTATACAGCCTGAGTAGCACAATCTAAAGCATTAATCTATTTATGAAATGATCAGTTACGTATTGTTTGTTATTTGTTTGCAACCCTTCAACTGTTAGTTTCGATCCGACCTCAGGTCGGCTGGTCACGGAGTATTGATGATAATGGACGGTTACAGGCGCCTGCAGCGATAGTACTGTAACAGATCCCACGGATATTCAAATACAGGATTCACACTATCAACAAAATAGGCGATAGTACATTTCAAGCCGATATATATAAAAACTTTTTGGTGGGAATGACGTAAGAGTTATTCCTTTGCCTTGTTGGTTTAAAACAAACTATGACAAATGACAGATGACAGATGTAATACAAAATTAAAATAAAAACAAAAGATATTTAAAATGTAATTGCGAAAGTTCTTATAATAATTTTTATAGTCATATTTGACATTAATAAGTTATTTTAGATATAAGTAAGAGTTATAGGATATTATTGATAAATACATTGTTAATACACCCTGTATATGATCGCAGGTAAATCACGCAGCCACTGTTTGCTCAACAGCGCCTATCATCACGACGGTACAAATGTTTAGCGCACGGTAGTCCATACATTTAACTTTTGTATTTTTTCTTTAAAATACGATCAAAGGGCAAATTTCAATACTTTATTATATAAATATTTTTGTATTACACGACATATTGTACGTGGAAATGAAATTTAAACGTGAAACAAAAGAATAATGTATTTGAAATTGACATATATTTATGTATAGATTTTTTAAGTTATTGATAATCAAAATTTTATCCTAATTATAACTATAACAAGTAAATAATAACGATAATTATATTTTTCTTATATTTAACTGTTTCAAACGAATAGTAATGGAGTACGTAAAATAAAGATCCATTATAAAAGTATAGCAACAATTTGTAGCCAAAATGCAAAACAAGGCAACGAGATAAAGGAAGTCAAGATATAAATCTACCAGCGACATAACATTTTATACTTTTTAAACAGCTAACCGCATTTTTATTCAAAGTAACCACTTAGTAAATAAAATATGTCCGTATCTAAAACAATAAACTTCCCGTGGGTGGGATCCTTTCCGTTTTCCCTTTTTTTCCCGTATTCCTTTTTAAAAACCCGTGAAACATCCGCGTCAGAAGACCAGTAAGATAAACACGGTCGGATCAAATAAATATACATCTATACTATTATTTTAATCTTCTTCGTCCTGGCAATTTAACAGGTTTTATTCTCATATTTATATATACCTGGTAATTTTGATACTATTATAGTAATATAACGATATAATTCGATTTCTTTGTTACATGATATGAAGAGTTTTTAATATTTTTTACAAACATATATTTTTATATATGTTATGGCTTCATTCGTACTGTAATCGTGGAATATTGGGCCAATATCAAAGATTTTATTTATTTTTATAATATTTAGTACTTTGAAAGAAACACGAACTAGTTTGTCGAATGGAATAAAGGCGATTATTTAATTAAACATACATACATACATATTTACACATATAAAGAAAGAATAATTATATCAATATTTCATACTGATATGCATTACATATAATTACAGTTGACAATTATAAAATTTCTCTTTTAGAAATAGCGTATCAATTATTTTATATAATCGTAAATGATTGTTGACTGAAAAAACAATCAAATTGAAACTAATTAAAACCTCTTTTATTCTAAACTTATATATTATAATATAAATTCTATGAAATATAAATAAAAGTCGGTGGTGGCCTAATGGTTAAATGGCTCACCCCTCATGCACGAGGGCGCGGGTTCGATCCTGGCCCGGGCAAGTACCAATGTGATTTTTCCAAGTCATATGTACTTTCTAAGATTATTTAGACATCACTGATTAATGCTGATTCAAAAAAAAGAGGGTTGATGTCAGACAGGCGGCCGGTCGTAAAAACAAGTAGCCAAAAAACTATTCACAACATGTAAGGCAGACCTTTGCTAAAGGTGGGAAATTGCCAGGTAGAAGAAGACTATGATATATTTCTTTCTGTGTCATTAAAACGGCCGTAAGTGCATCGGACGCTACGTGAAAGTACTTAGTTGTTCAAACATTAGCATATGTTTGGCCTTTTTATAAACTTAACTATCAAGCAGGTGAACTTCAGACTTTAAATAAGAATACTTACTGGACGCTAGATTAAAATAAAACTTCTGTAAAGGATTTTAAGTTGCTTATAAATGTTACATAGAACTAATATCACAAATCAATGTTATTACTATGACAAATATAACTTGAATTATACCTAATTAGATGTAAAAGGAAATAGTTAAGCTATTAGTATTAAAGAACAGAAGAAGTGGTTAAAATAACGATTTTATAGATATGATGTTTTCGTCAAGTGTATATTGAGATTTAATTATATTATTAATCTTTTTGTCTTAAAATTCGTCATAAAGATTTATCAAATTGACGTGACATAGTTCTAAATTGACATACCCCATCGAATATTTATCAAAGGGTTGAGATAAATTCATTATTGACAAAGTTAATCAATACAACGGGAAGTTGAAAAGATTTAAAAGTGGTGCTCTTTTAATTTTTTTTTTTTTACCTATATTCTATTCTAGTTATAACTTCAAAACTTTAG